GTGCTTCACGGTATGTGACAGGTATAGGATGCGTGTACGAAACTTGGGGCATATTTCTGCCGCCGGGAATCAGCTGCTTCTTCGGCATTTTGTACTCTACCGCCTGTCGTGAAAAGTGGAGCAATGTCTTGCTTCACTTTACGTAGATTGTTGACATGCCTACACAGTAGTTTGTTTTTTGCCAGGAGTTTTTTCGCTAGGCACTGTTGACAAGTTACTTTGTCCACACGGACAAGTGCGGTACAATTATCGCGGTGGATCGGGAAATTGCCCCAAACCTCTGAGTCGGGGTTAACCTTGTAGACACGCCATGCTGCACTTCTTATTTAGGCATTTCCGAGTCCTACTTCTTAGAATTGAAGGCATTTTTTCGGGACGTAGGGGTTTGGTCTCTGATGCTCTGTTGACGATGTCGCTAAGTCTATCAACGCACTCTGTCCAAACGTTTTCAATGGGACTGTTATTTGAGAATTCCCAAGCAGATGCCTCGACGATTTCTTTTAAGACGTGGTAGCGTGTGATTGTATGAGTTAGTTCTGAGTATTTAGATAGATACTCTGCATAACAGACAGTTAAACGTTGTTACTACATGTTCGCTGAGACCTAATGGCCTATCCATCAATAACTTGTCAACCATGAGCATTTCATTCTTGAGCACAAGGTCTAGTATGAACGGACACACTTCAAACAAACAGGTTTTCTAAGGCAGGACAGAAAAAGTTCCACTCCTGTCATCTCGAGCAGTTCCTTCGGAAGTCACGGTGGTCTCTTGGACTCCTGAACTATGAATCTGATCTGCAGTACTCAATCCGGTACCCAAGTCATTGGTTAGCGCCTTCTGGCGTATAGCTTTCTAGAGCTGGCAAACATGTTTTTCGGTACTTGATGAGCCCTAACCAATTGCAGCTTATTTCACTGTTAATTCCTGATCTAAGGAATCAAGCAGTGTCTACTAATTTCTTACACACGTGATGATTGTGGACACGCTGGCAATATTCGACATTGGCACTTATCCAAAGTTAACGATAATCAAAGGCGTGGAAGCACCGATAGCTGATGAAAATATCAGTCAGTGTTTGATAATGAGCAACCAATTGGCCGGTGGTCGAGTGTTTCGGGGACATGGCTGGTAATCTACAGGTCACTGGTTCGAATCTGTATAGGCTTGGACAATCTCGCGGTATCTCTGTCCCGCACGTTCCTGATGCTGGTCGTTTTGTAACGATGCGTCGGCGTTACGTACTTGCGTACTGCTGATGCTTCTTCCTGTATCACACTGATCCGTCCGTTAGACGGTGATCGGCTGCATCAGCTTTCCTTTTTCACCACTTTGTTTTATTGAGGCACCTGATTGAAGGCCTTGATCACACTAAGGTTTTCTGGCCTTTCTTGGGTGGAAGGCTCTAAATCGTCCACCTCAGTGATTCGGAACTGCACGTCGCGATCGTTTGTCAGTTGACATTAATCTACCAAAGTGCCATGTATCCATTTTCTATGAGCTGAACAGTAGTTGAGTGTAAATAGGTGTACGGAGAGAATGTTGTAGAAGAAGAGACACCTCTGGTGGTCACAGCTACCAAGGTAAGTGAACCGATCCACCGCTTCCAGTGGCTGTTCGTTGATAGCTAGAACCGGAAGTGTTTCGTTCCAGTCCTGCAGCAATACTTTACGCTTTGTGGGTGCAAAGCGCATACGAAATGTGCAGCGCTACGCACTAGTCTATCCAATAGTGTTTGCATATTCGCCTCGTTAGACTATGTCATCCGTGTACTCGACGTTTGTCAGTGGGTTACCTGACAAAAATTCCAGTCCAGTAGTTTAAAAAAACGAGTCAATTATAATCATTTCGATAACGCTGTTGAAGAGGAAAGGAGGTGTAGGATAACCGTGGCGAACCCCACTTGTCGGGGGGACCTCAAGAGACAGTTTCCCCTTGACTCTTACACACCCTCGGAAGTCACGGTAGAGACTTCAGAATGGAAAGGAATATAGGTGGCACGCTACAAGCTGGCACGGTCAACAGAGTCGAAAGTAGCTTTCAAGTCAACGAATGTTCCATCCAACGGGTTAGCTGACACTGTTCGGAATGGACTAATTCTTCCTCTTTCTCATTGACTGGAATCGTCTCAAATGCACTATGATGAACACCTTTGATGCCTGTTGTGCACTCAGCTTGAGACGTAACTGCGAATGGATCTCTGAGGGAACGTTGGTAGTTCGCAAGGGTCCGTGAGATGGAGAAAGCCAGTGTTATTGGGAACAGCCGAGTTTTGTTCCAGCTCACCCGGAGCGCGGGTCCCAGAAAGACTTCCGTTAGCGAGACAATAGCCGAGAAAAACGGACAGCTGATCCATTCTCAGCGTTGTCGACTAGTCCACTGGGCGGAACATTTTGAGGAGTAGTTCAGCAAACCTGCTGCGACATTGCCGAATCACCCGAGTCGTCGTGGGAAGCAGACATACCACCGTGAGAACCGAATCACTGAAAATCAAACTGGCTTCTGTCCTGGCCATGGTTGTATCCACTACATGTTTACTCTTTAAGTGTTGGAACAGCGACACACATGCAGGCGACCGACAATGGTGGTTTTCCCTTGAATGGAAAGCTGCCCTCTACTCTGTTGACCATGCCAAAGTACTGCTGCAGGACTTGCCCGACACTCTGGTTCTGTCTATAACCACACAACCACTGGAAGTGGTGGATCCGTTCACTTACCTTGGTAGCTGTGTCACCTGTGGTGGTCACATCACTGCAGAAGTTACTTCGCGTACCAGCAACGCCAGTGTGGATTTTCAGAGACTCAACCATCTATGGCGACAGTCGGATATCAAGCTGCCAGTGACAGTTAAGGTGTATGACACTGCGATAAGGCCGGTCTTACTGTATGGATCAGAGACTTGGTCAGTTCGCGACAAAGATATCGAATGCTTGTCCGTGTTTGACCACCGGTGCTTGCGGAGTATTGCTCACGTCTGGAGGGATCACCGGGTGTGCATTGCTGAGATCCGCCAGTCGGTTTTTGTCAAGAAGCCTTCTGGTTTATCACTGGAGTGTTTGCTGAATTTTGACCGCTTACGTTGGCTGGGCCATATCCTACGTATGCCCGTTGATCGGCTTCCTCGGCGTGCATTATACGCCGTGGCTGCACCAACTTGGGTGAAACCGCGAGGTGGCCAGTCCATGACGTGGCGTAGTGGCGTGAAGAAATTGACTGAGAGACTTGGTCAGGCTGGTGCATGCCGTCCTCGTGGATGGGGTCCTCGGGATAGTCCACACCAATTTTTAGAGACCGTAGCTGTCATGGCGCAGTCACGTAGACAGTGGCGTCCTTGCATTCAGTTTCTTGCATCTAGTTGTTAATTTTGGTTCCATTCCCATTAATTTAGTGCGCTTCCTTCTTTCTTCCACTTTGCATTTCATTTGCCCTTGTTATTTAGTTATTCTTGCGATGTGAGCCATGGCAAGCGGATCCACCGCAATTCGGTGCTCTTATCATAGTTGGGCTGGAACAATGCGATCTCAAGCCAGCGCAGATGACTCAAGCACGAAGACTTGTCCAGCAACAAATCATTGGGTTTGGCGTCAAGCATCCACTGGTCAACATCGACATCACTGACCTGCTAACCCGAGCAGATATGAACAATGCTATATGGAGACAGAGGGTCAACTACCGCTAGTCTGATCATACCTTTAACTCACTTTGGTCATCTCCTTTGTCCATAATATGATGGCGGCCGCACCAGCGCTGTATACTACTTCGGTTCCATCGGTTCCATCTAATGACCAAGGTTTTGAAGCGGGAATGTGTCGATATTTACAACAAACTTCTCCTTGATCCGACCACTCGCAGTGAGACGGATACCTAGCCTCCTGAATCGACAAGCCACTTCGAATACTTCTTCCGTAACTGCAGTGGGATTTGGTGATACGAGACACAAGCCGTAACACTCAACTGGGGGATCAGTTATTTGCGTTCGATTTCTCGTTTTCGACTTTTTTATTTTGTATTTGGATACTGTAGTTTTCACTAGGACTTTTTGATGGGAATTCGCTTTTCTTTTTCACCTAGATGTTTCGCTTCCTTTTATATTTTGTTTTAACGACATTGCGAATCTAGACAGTCTGCTCCTTCGCTCATCACCGCCTTGTCCATGACCGATCAAATGAGCTGAGCTCTTGGTAATAAGTAGGGACTACGAAATATTTCGGAGTTAAGCAGCCACTACGCCTCCGGAGTAGGACCAGACGGTCGTTTCACCCTGTTAAGCTCCGTCAGCAGCGCACACCTCAGAGCCCTACAGGATTCGAGACCCATACTACTTGTTAAGCAGTACTAGGCGACGATGCGGCCTTGCATTGCCACAACCAAGGGAAGTTGTAACTCTGAGAACGCAAACCAGTCCTCCGCGTTGCAGTGTAGGCCGAATCACTATATCACAGCCAGCAATCATTCATGCCGTCTCTCTCCTATCACCCACGGCTTGGTGATTTAAACTATTACCTAGTACGTTGTTGCTCATGGGTTCCAATCACATTGGACTCATGATAAGTTCATGCCGTTTATGTGTACCAGTAGGATGAAGCGACCATCCAGCTTCTCTTGGAATGCGCGTTTGCTGGAGAGGTGTTCTATGTATGATGTAGCTCTTCCCCCAATGTCATGTTTCTATGATGTAGTTTTCTACCAGGCGCATGTGTGACACGCGGGCCTCGTTACGTGTCCACTGTCGTACTGCTTTAAACCATGATGTCTGCTCTTCGCGCTCCCCACTCCTTAAGCTTGCTTCCAACACCTGCGTTTAATTCCTATTTTCTGTTGACATTCTCGTCGACACCTACCCTGACGGCCGAAGGCTATGCACATGTTCATTTTCCCCATAGATTCATGTTAGGCATACGTCTTCACACCTGTTTCGTCCTACGCTTACATTAACTCTCGCTCATTATCCATCCCAATACACTTCTCTGTCTTCTCTCTCGTCCGTTTTGCACTACCACAGTCTACGCCCCTGCTGATCGTCGGCCATCGAAGCTGCCAATTTGATCGTCTTTTCTGTCCGCTCTCCACGCACGTATACGCATCTATTAATCGGTTTTTATGTGTCCAACGGCCCTTCGATTCATATTGTCGATCTAACGCATCTACTCATGCGCTTCGTTCCTCTCCGACAGCTCATTGGTTGTTCGTTTCCGCGCTATCGCATTTCCTACGCCTTCCACCCACCCTCATTATGCTGTGCAGCTGATTTCACATCCAATGCATTTATCAGTCTGTTATTTTCTGATTTCCTTCTTTCTCCACTATCCAGAAATGTGTACACTTTCATCGTGTCTAATTTTTTGTTCTATGAAGACGATTCACTTTGTATTCAATTTTTGTTTGATCTCAGCATTTCATACTGCATCTTATACCGAAATGGTGTCCTGTTAGATGCTATCCTCCTTTTACCTTCAAGCGCTGAATTCACTGTTTTGCGCGCACATCCATGTCTAATTTTTTGGCTAATCACTCTCCGCCTTTAGGTTGCATTCGACATGTCATTCGATATATAACTACTTTGGTCATTTCAACTGTGAAATCCTCCCATTTTCCGCTTTCTTGTTCCACAACCTACTGGGCTGCGTCTCTCTTGTATCCATCCGGTCCGGCTTTGTGCAGCTGTCTGTCGTTGTCATGTTGGTTCTTTTTATTCGCACCTTCAGTTCTGTCGCATCTGCCTCGCGAAGTCATTTCGGAAAAACTATATTAGCAGTCAATGAGGACTCCATATTCGCAGGAAGTTGCTTGCATTTTAAGTATTTTCAGTGACCTCCTTTTCCTTTGCCTTGTGGTTAATCAAGCATGCAGACGTCCCGCCACAGGGTTTTTTGTTATGACTGTTTGATCAAGATAAGCTGTTCATCTTGCTGGTCTCTTGCAGCAGACATTCGGATGATTTGAACTTTCCAACTATTAGCGGTGTGGTTTAGACAACTCGGCTTTCTTTCCACAGGTGAGCTGTGGGCCAACTCGCACTATCCAAGCCTACAGGTGCCCGCTGATGATTGTATAGTAGTGAGGTGTCGACACCAAATTATTTCTTGTCGCTGTCACCTACACTGCCTGTAAATTAACCTACGCTTACATGAGTCTACATGTAGAGCATGTCATTTAGGCCTGGCGGAGCTACTCTGCACTTTAAACTCCTCAGCGGACGGTGACTCTGAGACTCTTAGGAATCTGTCACATCCACGCTATGAACTGCAACACAATCGCTAGCAGTGTTGTACTCTGGATAGTATCGGCATCTACAAGTCGATCTCGCTATTGCATACTAGTTCACCAACACCCGAACTCATGATTGCGGCCACCTACAACCTTGTCACAACACCAACCTACAGGGCGACCGGCCTGAGCTGACCTGCCCAATATGGCCGCTTGTAGTACTGCTAGCATTTTCTACTAATGTGTCGACCACTGATTGCACTTCCAAAGTGCGCTGTTTCTGCTTATCCATTCTCGTTATTTAAACAGGAGTTTTTCAGACCCGGAAATTGCTTTATGCGCGATTGGCGAGTAAATATTCAGCTGCAGACTTGATGATACACATTACACGAAATAGCATGTGTACATGCGGTGGTCACCAACGTAGGCTAACGATGCGTTCTGCCTTCCCCATTAATCGTTTTGCTTGTTTACGTCTGTATCCATGGGAACACCACAGTGACTCCACAAACACGCGCGTTACTTTGTTGTCGCTTCCACCTTATTTTCTGTCCCACAGTACTTGTCAAGCATCAGCTTCTTTACAGATACAGTGCGTGTGTGCGTACTTATCTCGGTTAGGCCAGCTTCTCTATGCAAAAGACAGTGACCTTGCTTATTATCTTCCGTGTAATTTCTAGAGTTGCGACGACTGACGTAGTTATAGCTGCCATTCTTCCACTGGTCATTGAATGACCGTGACAGGTTCCTTCTATTTTGGATATTCTAGAAGCGATCCACGCGTTCTCCATTAACTGGATGAGGTCAACTTATTCAGGATTCTACAAGAGATAAAATGAAAACAAATTTAAACCTTTTCTAGTTGCGAGCGCATTCGACGACCTCTGGTCTGGAGATAACTTTTAATTAAATTGATCTTACTCGTATTTTGAGGCCAGTCGATAATGAGTTCGTAATATTGTTCGCCGTCGTCAATGTAGGTCGACGGTGTTGTCCACCGTCTTCTTCTGTAACTGTTAAACGAGAATGCCTATCAGTTTCTGTCCTCAGTTCTATCGAAGGTGAATTTTCCACCAAACGAGCTGCTGAAGAAGTTCTAATAAGCGGACGACGTGGCTTCATTATTACTCATTACATACGTTAGCTGCAGACGTAAAACACCTCAGCTATTGTGCTGCAATACAAAAAAATTAACATGAAACAGAGGTGCGCAGGCCGAGTCGCCAGTAACGGTTGGACATCGTTCTAGAGTTAGCAGCGGGCTATTATGCCGCAAAAATGGGTGATAGCATGCCTAATAAATAAGATCGTGGTTGGATGGGAGGATAAGAGGGAGGGTTAGGGACAAAGAAACGCAAACGCCGCGATGTGGCTTCCTTGGAGATCGGTCCAGACCTTACGTGAGAGCTTCAGGACGAATTGTTGTTGAGCCCTGCATGCATGTGTCCGACATCCTTAACTTGCTACGTACTTTCGCAGAACAACCGGTGCATGTTTAATTCTCATCGCCATCGAGCAGCGACTGAACATCGTTGAGTAACTCACATAGGTTGTTGTTTTACCGGTGACGTTCAATTGACTGCAGATGATGCTACGCTGATTGATGGAGGTTTGTTTGTTTTTTGCTAATCGTCATTCTCTTATGGAATCGATGGGCTAGTGGATTGTTGATTATAAGCAAGTTGTATTGTGCTGCCATACATTCGACACTGCTGTATGGATCGTATGCAATGTGGCTTCACATTAAAGACGATCAATGAGCGCTCTTTTTCGGTTATCTGGTCTCGGTACGTCATTGATCACACCTGGTGTTTGTGTCGAATAGGCGATACTGTGGTCCTCTGCTTGGTGTTCTGCAACAAGCTTCCCGGCACCACATTCGGTATACAGATCGCCTAATCAGCCCGTTATCCCTGCGACTCATGAGAATGTCGAGATACGGAAGACGCCCATTCGATTCGAATTCAAAAGTCACATTCAGGTTGGCGTAAACATTATTAAGTTGGAAAATTGTCTGACGATACATTCCTTCGTGAAACGTAGTGAGCGCTTGTGCGCACTTGAGGTATATTACGTCACGTATGGTTGAGGTACTACCAGATGTACCGAAACACGATACCCACTCGATCGACCTTACACGACACTGCTTAGACGAGTGCATGTGGACGGACACCATGACCTTATAGCAATCTCTTGATGCTCTGGCCGTCGCAGAGGCTAATAAACGGCTCACCGTCTGCTGCATCGAGCAGGGTCGATAGAGGTTTGGATGCTACTGTTCAAGGCTTCCCGCCTTCTTATTCCTCCTTTTGCGCTTTTTCATCCTTAGTGTCCCGTTACAAACTCACTTTCAAACCCCGGTTTTCAATCCCACAATTCTTGGCCCCTCCCCATCTTGCTTCAGTAGTCACTCATCTTCTTGTTTCAACTCACGCACAATCGCAGGGCGTCGCTCCAATCCAATCCACTCGGCAATTCCATGTTCAACCAAGCGGCTAACGTCACTTCATCCGTTTCCCTTAGGAATCCTCGCTAAGACTGGCATGCCTCAACGTGCGCATTTTGCTACAGATTGGCCAACAAGCAGCACTTGCCCGAACACTTGAGACCCTTTCGATGGATATTTGCTGTTTATCGGAAACCCGCCTGCAAGATTCGAGCTCCGTGTTTACTATGCGATCCCTACATGCGACACTGGCGGCACATTCTCATTGTGCCTATCTGGCGATGACGCAGCTTCAAATACAGGTCAAGCTGGCGTCGGCACTGTTTTGAGTTTCCGGACTGAAGCATGCTTTGATTAACTGGATCCCTGTCAACAGCCGGATGTGCGCCGTTAGGTTGGCTGACTCATTCCATGCTTCGAAGTCGCGCGGGGACAAATGGTGCTTGTTTGTCATTTCGGCTTACGCACCCACAAACTGTATCCCTGATTCGGTGAAAGATGATTTCTATCGCTAACTTAAAGATCTTCGTTACAGAAAATTCACGGATACTGTGGTGCTTGTTGATGATCTAAACGCACAAGTCGGAAAGTTGTCCTCTGATGAGCTTTATCTGGGCGTCCAACACTTGTGGGCTCCCGTAATGATAATGGTGAGCGGTTGCTACACCTGTGTGAAGATGCTCGTCTCTTTCTCGCGACCACTAACTTTCGACATAGCACCTGCAGAAGAGTGACTTGGCGCCCGCCAGCCATGGACGCAATTCGACCATATCGCGATTAGTTACCGCTGGAGAAGCTGTGTCTAAAACCGTCGCTCGATTTGGAGCACCAGTGTGGACTCCTATCACGCTCTTGTGTATACTTACCTGCGGGTGCCTTTCGGCGGACGTCCGCGATGTCGCTCTGAGCTCATTGACACCAGCCAGCTGGCGAAGCCAGGTGTTCTGAATGCGTATCAAACTATGCTGGCATCTGGGTTGAGTAAGTGTCCACTGAACACTGTCAAAGGGTAATAGTCGCATATTCGTCAAACGTTACTACCAACAGACATGTCTTTATGTGGCAAATCAAATTGCCAACCTAGACATTGGGTCTCTACAAAGTCTCTGCAACTTATGGGTGCTCGCCGACGTATTCCGGCTGGAAGCGAATACAATGAGACTCGCAAAAAGCTCAGGGCAAAACCGCGTGCTAGCTTGAAAATGACCGCGAAGCATCGGAAATGGAAACAGCCGCTGCCGTTGGTAATCTTCATAAGTTATTCCGTCTAATACGGGAAATAGGCAGCAGGAGACCTGGTGTTAGCTAGACAATACGCGACGAGAGTGGGCAGCTAATCCACAGCTTGTCAAAAGCTTACAGCGTTGGGCCGAACACGTTACAAGACAGCCTAACCAATCTAAGTTGCCGCTTTCTCTTTCGGGCATTTAGTGCCCTTCTCCATGGGCCGTCTCCTTAGATCCGTCCTCACGCGCAGAAGTCGAACGCGAGATCAGACTGTTGAACTTGCATAAAGCCGCTGGTTCAGATAGAATTTCCCTAGCTCTACCAATTCGGGGACCTGCACTTGTAGATGATTTACACGAGTTACCCGTGGAACTTTAGGTGCAGGAAACTGTCCCGACAGACTGGACCCGCTCCGTCAAAGTCTCAATTTCTAAGGGAGGCTCCCGTTCGGAATGCGGCAACCACAGAGGAATCAGTCTGATCTCGAGTGCTTCTAAATTACTTGCCTTTGTCGTTCTCCACAGACTGACTGGCGGTCGTGAAGGCCAGATCCGCGAAGTGCAATCCGGGTTTCGTCGAAATCGAGGCTACATCGACCACATCTTTACTTTGCGTGAATTGTTGGAGCACTGCCATGTTTATTGGCGACCTACCGTCGTCGTGTTTCTCAACATAAAAGGCGCCTTCAATTCGGTTGCTCGATGTGCCCTTTGGGACTGTCTGCTGAGAAAAGGTGTACCAGATAAATATGTAAACATTATCAAAGTACTGTACGCACATAGTTTGGGCAGAGTGAGGATTTATGGCAAACTATCGCCGCCCTTCAGTATCTCCAGCGGTGCGAGACAAGGTTACCCGCTGTCACCTTTCCTCTTTAAATTCGCTATTGATTGAATCATGGAAACAGCGTTCACTGGAAACGACCTAGAAGGTTCGCAGCTACTTCCTGGTGAGCGACTTCTTGATTTGGAGTATGCGGACGACATTGCTCTCATATGTGACAGCGCCCAAACGTGCCAGGCTGCACT